TGAGTTAAGTTTAGTTGAAATATCATAAGTTACAATATCAATTAAGTTGAAGAATTTTTTCAGGTTAGAAAATGATATTTAACTTATAATATGCCAATAAGTTGCCTACGTATCCCTTACCTTGAAAATCAGAGTTCTCGTAGTTCTCTTTTTTATACTTACATTGCAGGATGTGTTGTTGAACCGATTCGCGCTCTAGTTATCTTACTCGTAGTGGAAGGTATGGTAACACTAGTGAAGTCAGGACAATCATCTTCTATATCCTCTTCGTAGTTAGCATGGCCATTTGCATTATTTGATCAGCCTTCCTCCAATCACCAAGCAACATTTGATTGTCCAAGTCTTGTAGCAGCAACCTCAACCGTCTTGTGTCCAGGTATATCCCCTCTCTCTAAATGGTTGTTCAATCGCCACTGTTCAGGTAACGAATATATCCTTGGCCTTATTGCATGGAATAGGATAAATTTCTCTCATTTTTCACTACCAATCCAAGACATCAAATTTGAGTGGCAGGGTTGGTCTACGGGCAATGTTAAGTCTCAAATTCGACGAGAGGTAGTGATCGAGCTCCTTGTATCAAGTCCCATTTGCCTTTGGGATTGAACCAACAACATGAGAAGAAGACCACCAATTCCCAAAGTTTGAGGCTTGGTGTGTCGCTTGTCCCGCTTAAGGCCCATAATAAGTAGAAGAAGACTCGCTGGACCCAGAAGCAAAAGGCGCTGCACTTTCTCCCGCTGCGATTGTTGTATCCCTAAACATTTCATACAACAATTTTTGTGCTATCTCGAGGAGAAGCCGTGAATTGGGGTTTTCAAATAGATTCTTCGGGGAAGTGGAAGTACATAATATCATAATAAGTATGAAGTTAGTTTAGCAAGTCAACTTCTTTTGGTGATGGGTCTAACGAATATGCAACTAAAATTATGTCGGGAATGTCACAAAAATATTTTAACCATTCTGATAACATTTTTGTTACAATTCCTCTGTATTTATCAGAAATCTTTAGTTTAATACCTTTGAATGACCACGTAATGACTACACATTGAGCAATCACAAGATGAGATGTAGAAGAGCAAACACCAGAAAGTATGTTAGTAGCATCTTGAAATGTTAGTAAAAACTTCATTATAGCTTCACAATTTATCTAATCTTGCGTAGTTACGTTGACATCACAATTGCTACTATCAGAACTTAAAAAAAAAACTTCCAAATGCCTAGAATAATCATTTCTTTTTAACAACATTTTATAAGTTGTGTTCCACCGGGTAAGAACGTCTGGATTAAATTTTTTTAGATTTAATACCTTGCCTTTAGCATTAATTTAAAGCTTTAATTTCTAAAGGACGACGATGTAAATAGACGACGACCTCTCTGATGGGCGTTATTCGAGTTCTATAAAGTATGATAACCGGTTTGAACACAAATATGGTATATACAAAAAATATGAAAAAAAAAATTCCTCACAAATGGGACTAAAATATCATTGAAGTTGACCAATGGATGCAATATGAGCACTAGCATTATCAAAAGAAATGATTTTTTTTTCTACCAATGTTGAAACTATTTGTGATTTGTGAAATTAATCGAGCGATATTACTAGCGGTGTGGTTGATATTAAATGGCGTATAAGCAATTAAACGTTTTTGTAATTGAAAACTATCATCGACCTAATGACAAATAATTCCTAGGTAATAGCTCGATAATCATTGATCGGACCAAATGTCGCAACAAATAGAAACTCTTTGTTGTAATTAGAATTGTTTGTGCCAAAACTAATTTTTTTCTCAGCCATAATTATTCGAATATCATGGTTGAGAGTATTATGTGGAACCCGTCGCGCAACCTGGTTTAAATCCATTTGAGAAAAATTTTAATATAAGCTGGAATCAACAAAACCGAAAGGAAGAGAGGATGCACAAACAAATTCACCTAGATGGCGTCTATCGTTTTCATGCTAGTATTGAAATAAAGTTGAAGACTGATATAGGATATTATATACCCCAAGCTAAACCGGTGTACTGAACCAGACGGAGGGGTCATACCATGAAGGAATCGAGTCAGGCAATGGAAGATCGAGCAAAACAACATGTCGACCAGTCAAACAGTCAACCAATCCATTGCTCCACTGGATAAGCGATCGAGCAACCTAGTCGACCTCAGCAGTTCGATCATCTCGCGGACTCAACACTCGATAAATCGGCCTAGTTACAGGCGCGTGTAAGAGCCTCCAACCGAATTTCAGGAGAATATTTACCCCATGTGCAGGAGGACACGTGTCGAGAATATATTGGTTGATAGCGATAACCACCTCTGACAGCTCCCAACGCCCTGCACCACCTCTGATATGTGCGCGGCGTGTCAGAGTACGGACGGGCAGCTTGGGCAGCCAACTCATCCTTATCCGGGCAGCTATTAGGGCATGTATCTCACTCCTATATAAAGGGGGTGAGTCTTTCTCCCTTGGGACGATTTTTCTATTATTCACTTCAGTATACTCATACACATACTGACTTAAGCATCGGAGGCTATTCACCGGACACAAACCCCGGTGTGAGAGTTGTTTGTAGGTTTCCGGCGTTCTACCGGCGAGGACAAGAATCGATCTACCCCAAACTGGACCAGTACGACCACACCTGCATTAAAGCGTACTTGTTCCACTCCCCATTGTTTCACTACTGCGAGTTGGGAGTTGCGTTTGAGTCTAGGGGATACCCATTTCGCCCGGGTTATGACGTTGTATGTGACGTTGCATGGATTCGTACCACCGTCTGTTTTCCAAGCGTATTGCTTCCTCGAGTTGGCTGGACATTGGTTGCAAATACATGTAAAATATTTGTCGCCTAGTTCCGGATTGGGCATCTTCATGAAATGCCTTGTGAAGATTGCTTATTTCTTTGCTTTATTACTGCAGGCAGTTGTCGGAGGTTGAGGTTGTTGACCCATTCCACGACCTTCAGTAGGATCAAAATCGTCTTCATACGGCTGGGTCTTGTCATCATCCACTTCCAGCGACTGCTGCTGCTCAACTAAGTAGGTGTTTTCTATTT